GGTATTTATCCAAGGGATATGGGTGTGCTGTTTCAAAGGGGCACATGCACTCCAATGTTTATAGCAGTGCTATCGACAATAACTGAAGTATGGAAAGAGCCCAAATGTCCACCAACAGATGAATGGATAACGAAGATGTGGTAGTAATAACAGAAAATGTCGTCTGAATTTTGAGCAATGTAGGAGATTTTATTTATCAAAAATGGCCAAACATACATATCCCATCCCATTTGCTCTTCCTACAATGTGATGCTGATGATCCTGAGAGACATGATCTATATGTTCTCTCCCATTGAATAAAGACAGATCTTTGTAACTAACTCAACCAAGACAGTTATACAGATGCAACACTATGTAAATTCTGGAGCTAGATCTTAAAATCAATACAGCTTTTGTCTGACTCTCCCTCCGGGTGGTTATCCTTGGAGACTCAAACTATGAGAAAACTCAAACTAGCTTACATACTAGTGGTGTATTGGATGTGGCCAGTTGATACTGGCTTACTTACTAGAGGCAACTGTTAAATCTTTAAGAATTTTGTGAACCAGTTGTCAAACACAGCCATTATTACAAATTAGATTATATAAACTTACAATTAAATAAATTATATTAAAAACAAAGATAATAAATACTCAAACCTCATCATCTCCTAAAAGTGTTACTATCCTTCACTATTACCTATGTTCTAAAGGTTATTAATGTCTGTTGTCTCCCGGTAGTAGAAATACTACAAAATAATGTGCTACTGCTACCGAGCACTCCTTTCTAACTCTAGAAAATCAAACTTTAAGAACTACTCTAAATCTTCTCTTCCAAAATTTAAAAGCAATTCTTAAAAAAATCAAACAAATCCACGAAGAATTTAACTGCTTGCAAGAACAATATCCAACGTTTGTTAAAGAAACACAAAACCTAACATGTAATTAACAGAGAGTCCAAAGTATCTGTGATCCAAACAATTTCTAGACATGAAAAAAGAAGGAAATAACAGTCAAGGGTTACAGACCCAAAAATGACAGAGATGACAGAATTACCATAGAGAGACATGATATTATAAATATATTCCACATAATCAAAAAAGTAAAGAAAAAAAACAAGAACAAAATAAATTAAAAAAAATAAAAAACAAAAGGGAAGTTTTGTTTCTTTGAATTTGTTTTTTGTTTTGTGGGTTTTTTTGGTTTTTTTTTTTGGGTTTTTGTTGGGGTTTTTTTTTGGTAACAGCTCTACTGAGATATAATTCACACAGACAAACAGGAGTGTTTTTTAAAAGAAGTAGAAATTCTAAGGGTGAAAAGTATAATATCTGAAACGAACATTTCACTGAACGAGATTTATGGCAAATTAGACACCACAGAAGATTACTGAATGTGAAAACACAGCAGGAGAACTGATTGAAAATGAAGCACAAGGTCTAATAAGACTGGAAACCAAATGGAAGAGCTTGACTGGTAGATGTTCCTTTCCCTTTTTCCCGGCGCCATTTTTAACAAGTAGCAAAGGTCTTATTTCAAAACATCCTAAGTCGACTGCCTTACTGACAACAGAAAGAGTATTATCAGATTTATCTTTCTCTTTAAGCATACCTTCCCATCTCTATAGTTATTTCATACTAAGGCTTTCATGCTGACCCCAAATCCAAATTTTACCTTCTGAGGAAGGATAGATACCTTTCTGCTGACCCACTAAAATGAGACTTTTTCGGCTTTTCTTTTGTCTCATTCTCTACCTCATTTTGAGGGATAATAAAGAAAGAAGCATTTTCTGTCATCTCATAACAAGCTCTCTGAGGCCAAAAACTAAAGAAACATTGCTCAGCCATCTATAAATCCAACACCACCCCCAGAAGTACACGAGCTCAAGAATGGTGGTTTTATCTAAAGACTTTTAGCATACAGAAAGAACACTGCCATGCTAAAAAAGCACAGGGTAGATCTACATGTCCTTGACATTGAAAACTATTTGAAGTGTTCTGTTAAGTGCAAAATGATAGCTGTAAATTAGTACATACAGTATAATACAATTTATAAAATACAGTTGACCCTTAAACAGCATGGTTTGAACTACACAGGTCCACTTACTGGGGATTTTTTTCAATAAATAACAGTACACTACTGTAAATATATTTTCTATGATTTTCTTAATAACATTTTGTTTCCTCTGGCTTACTTTGGTCTAAAAATACAGCATATAATATACATAACATACAAAATATGTGTTACCATAAGGCCTCACTAAAAGGGAGTGACTATAGTGTCCTTTCATGGTCTACCTTGTACATTTCTATGTTTGAAATTTTCATAAAACTTTTAAAATCAGGACAGAGGCGCCTAGGTGGCTTAGTCAATTAAGCATCCAACTCTTGATTTCAGCTCAGGTCATGATCTCATGGTCGTGGGATCAAGTCCCACATCAGGCTCTGCACTGGGCATGGAGCCTGCTTGGGATTCTCTCTCACTCACTCTCTCTCTTTCTCTCAAAATAAACATTTTTAAAAATCAGGACAAAAAATTAGGTAGGAGAAATAAAACAGAAAATGGGAAGAACCACAGCAAATTCCAGAATTCCAGCTCTACCTCCACTCCCCCAACCTCCTACTCACACCACCACATATGGAGGGTCCACACTACTCAAGCGCAATGGAGATCTTTTTTCCACAAAGGGAAAAAATGGCACAACTCTCCAATAACCTCCTCTGCTCTTTGGAGAATACAGTGTCAGTGTCATGACTCCTGAGAATGAAAACTCCTCGCCCCAAGACTCACCAACATTCCCAGACATTACTGAATCACTCCCTCCTTCCTTTTCTTGGACTTTCTTTGCTTTCTTTTGAACAGGCCCATCATTCTCCAGTGGTCTCTTTTTACTTCTGCCCACTTCCACAACCTATATTGGAAAGTGATATGTTATGTCTAATCTCAAAACTTGATGTATGCAAAATAATTTAAACCTTACTTCTGAATGACAAGGTCTTTGCCTTTCATTCTTCACAGAATCAAATACTTTCAGCTCTAGAAAGAACTGTGGGTGAACTGTCTTTACCATCATGAAAGACAATGTAAAGACTGGCAGGTCATGAACCTCAGCACCTCAAGCCCTGCTACAGTTAATTAGAACTAAGACTGATAGCTTTATGTACTCAGTCAGCCTTCACCTATCACAGATTATAAAACCTGAATCATCCTACTTACCTATGTTAAATAAAATACCTTTAAAAAAAAATCAATTTAGTAAAGGTGAAATTAAGTAGATAATAAAAGAACACTATCATTTTCGAATTGTGAATTGTAATGTAACTGATTCATATACAAACTTGGCTTATGTTCACCACCAAAAATACCATAAGATTATGACCTATGTGCTGGTAGGAAACCTGTCAAAAATTAAGATCTTCACCAAATAACCTCTAAATGTTAGGTATAAAATAAAATCTTGGTGTATTCATGAAAATGTAGACTATCATCAAAAATCAAAGACAGGAGAGGAGCAATCACTCTCTGGAAGAAATATAAATGAAAGGAAGACTCTGAAGTAGCTGTCACCCCATCCGTATTAAAACTCGGAGGGTGTGGGCACCTGGGTGGCTCAGTAGGCGCACTGGAGGGGCTCAGGTTATGATCTCATGGGTTTGTGAGTTTGACGAGCACTGGCAGTGCAGAGCCTACTTAGGATTCTGTCTCCCTCTGTCTCTGCCCCCTTCCCAATTGCTTTCATTATCTCTCTCAAAATAAATAAAACAACCAAACAAAACAAACTTGGAAGGTGGCTTAAAGCCAGTCTGCAATCCCTTTCCATATTCTCAGTTTAAAAATACTGTACCAGGGAGACCCAGTGAGGGGCTCACCCTGAGGTTTTCCCTGGTGGCAGTGTCCCTGGTAAGAAAAAAACAAACTTAACTTACTCGGTTGAAAGGTGGCAAGCAACAGAAAGGAACCAATGACTAACCATTCACATCTGCACCACCTTAAGTAACTTAACCCAAATTGTCTATCAAACTTTACAATCTTAGCTGTAAGGAGTACAGTCACCGAGGAACTGCACAATATGACTGCCTTTATACCCTAGTCGCTTGAGAATATTAGCACCACTGTTGCACCCTTAAAAACTAGCGATTCAGTGGCAATTTTCTTCCAGTCACCTAACCAAGTACATATAAATAAGGTATATAAAGCTCCTCTTCAACTTTCAATCCAGATTTTTTTTTTTTAAAAAAAGGAGGCAGAATGGAGGTTAAAAGATGTATCCTTTGCCCACAGGCCACTACCGCCATCAGAGAGGAAGTCAGGAGCCCTCTGTTCCTCTCTCAGGTCTGCCATTAAGAACTCGTGTGATCTTGGCCTCGAGTCTATTACTCCAAGTGGAAAGTACAATCTTTGAACTACATTTTTAAAGGAGACCAGCCGGGCTTTTCCCGCCTTCTCCCTTTTGAGCCCCGCCCCTATCTCATCGGGCCGGCTCATCTCGTCGATTCTCGCGTACTGCTCCCATCTCCTCCTGCTCCACCCACAAGCACCGTCCCCGCCCATCTAGTCCCGCCCCATCTACCCCGCTGGCCCCGCCAAGTCCTGGACCGAACCCACCACGTGTGGCGGCAACTGAGGCGGGAGAGTGGACGCTAGGGGCGCTGCGGAATCAGAGTCAGGGCCGGCCTTCGGGACTGCACCCGTGGGGGACGTAGTGGATTTCAGGTTTCCCGTAGACTGGAAGAATCTGCTCAAAACCTCTTGCCTTGCAGGGGCTGGGCCGGCGGCAGCGGCGCGACTAGAGGCAGGCTTCCGACCCGACATCGCAGAGCACAGGTTGACGCCACTGGGGCAGGGCCCAGGCGGGAGCGCGAGCACGCCACCGCAGCTCCCCAAGTCTGCGTGCGCGAGCACGTCACGACCCTGCCGAGCGCCGGGGCAGGGGGCGGGGTCTCGGCTGCACAAATAGGACCGAGGGGGCGGGATGGCTGCAATTTCGCGCCAAGCTCGGCCGGGATTCCCAGGGTCGTGAGCAAGCGGTGTGGTGTGCACAGCGGCTGTCATGGTTCGTCCGCTAAACTGTATCGTCGCTGTGTCCCAGAACATGGGCATCGGCAAGAACGGGGACCTGCCTTGGCCGCCGCTCAGGTACCTACGGGCCCGGAGCTGGATTGGGTGTTGGGGGACGGGGAGAACTGGCGCGGTTTGCTTTTGATCGCGGCACCAGGGCGGGGCCTAACAGACACTCTCGGTTGGGAGGATGGGATCGGACTTTTCACCTGAGCAGGCAAGAGCTGGGCCAGGGCTTCCTTCCGCCATCTGGAGCCGGCCGGCCAAGTTCTCGATTTCCGTCCTGCTCCTGTTGCCCGGCGAGGACTTTTCCCCACCCCCCCAGTGCAGCGTCTGTCGGGAGGGTTACGGCTTGAGCCTACCAGATAATGTTCTGAGTAACCCTGTTTGTCTAATTTATAGGAATGAATTCAAGTATTTCCAAAGGATGACCACAACCTCATCCGTAGAAGGTAATGTGGGATTTTTAAGTGATTGAGGTTTGGGAAACATCTTGCTTGAGTAAGCTTATCAGTGCCAATTTTACTTAAATAAAAAGTTTTCCATGTTAATCTGGGACCTTTTGTCTTACCAGTGATTTATACGCAGTTCCCAAGGTTTGTCACGTTTTTTTAAAAAAAGTTATTTGAAATTTTATGTGGGCACGCGTAAATTGAGGTACTGGGCAGAATTAGCAGCTAGGTACAGGCTTTAGTGAAAGAGCAGGGAAGGAGACCAGAGGAGGCCTTTGGCATAGCTGCTAAAAGCGATGGTAGGGCCTGGAAGGCAGTGAAGAAGATAAAAGTAAAAAAACAACAACAAAAAGAAACAGTTCCATGAACTCGATGTGGAGATCAGAAAGGTGAAGGTGATGCAGGAAAGAATCAAGGATGAACTCTCAGATCTTCAGTTTGAGAGTCTGGGTGACATGGAGAATAAAGAAGTGGAGAAGAGTGTGCAGGTGTAATGATAATTTTGAGGTTTAAGGAATTTGTGGGATCTCCAGGATAATTTCAGGTACAGCAAAGTGGGTGAATTGAGCCACTGGAGAGGACAACCATGGAAGAGAATATAGTGGTGAGATGCCCGTTGAAAACCTAAGAGATACATATTTGGTCATAGGAGAAGAAATAGTAGAGTAAAAGACAAACAGTCAATCAGAAAGCAGATGCAGCATAATTTTAACTGGACAGGTACAAGGTCCTTGGATTTTGCACTTAGGTCACCGGTAGAGACAAGATAGCAGGAGCTTGAAGCTAAAGAATTGACATGAACCACTCTAGAATCCAGTGTATGATCTAGTAATAGGAAAAGCATCCAACACCTGGCCTATTCACTTGCTTTCAGTAAACACAGTGTTTCTTTGATGAGTGGATGAAAGGATACCAAGGTTGACTTGGCTTTTTGCTCTTTTTTCTTTTTCTTTCTTTTTTTTTAAATTTTTTTCCAATGTCTTCCTATGCTCTTCACTCATTATCTCCACATTTGTTGTTAGGCCAAGTCTGTACCATTTCTCATCAGAATTCCTCACCTTTTGGCTCTGTTATTTTTGATCACTGATATCTCCTTATTAACACTTAAAGCTCTGTCCTTGAAAATGCAGTGCATATTCTACAGGGGGCACCATGAATTATTGGGGTTTTAATTCTTAGAGGAAAAAAATTTGTCTCCACATTTGGAGGTGATAATTTGGTTATGAGTAATGATGTAAAATACAGAAAAATGCATAGTGTACTTGTATTTTGTAAATGTTAGTATTTTTGTTTAAAGAAATTCAAACTCATGATGATTCTTTAAAAAAACTTTTTTTTTTTCCAACGTTTATTTATTTTTGGGACAGAGAGAGACAGAGCATGAACAGGGGAGGGGCAGAGAGAGAGGGAGACACAGAATCGGAAACAGGCTCCAGGCTCTGAGCCATCAGGCCAGAGCCCGACGCGGGGCTCGAACTCACGGACCGCAAGATCGTGACCTGGCTGAAGTCGGACGCTTAACCGACTGCGCCACCCAGGCGCCCCACATGATGATTCTTTAAAACAGACATGTGCACTTCTTTTGATAGCCTGCCAGAACATACCCAGAGTTATAGAAATGTGTGTATTCCTTTGATCCAGATATCTGACTCCCAAGATTTTTCTTCCACATAATTATATGAAAAATGGAAGTTAGGTGTATAAAGTTTCTATAGAAGCATTTTACTTAAAAAATAGAGGCACAATTGAAAGCACTTTGGCTTTTTAATTGAGTGGAATCCTAAACAGCTATCTTTAAAAGTATGGCTACTAATATAAATACAAAGTATACAAATGAATAATACTATTACATCAAACAGTTAAACGGTACTTACTAGATGTTCTAAATTCTCAATCCCCACAATAACCCTAGAACTAGGAACTACTGTTATCTCCATTAACATAAGGCATAGAAGATTCGTGACTTGCCTAGTAGATGACTGAATACATTCAGTTTCAGCACTTTGCCCCAGAATCTTGGCTCTTCACTATTATACATAATTGCAATTGATTAAAACTAAATATTGGATATAAATCAGATAACACCAAAGAGAAAAATAGTATATTTAGGAAATGGGTGATAAATGTCAATTTTGTAAGCCTGTTTTAAGTTTTAATTTTTAAAGCAGATCCACTAGATGTCACTGTGACAATCCTATCTCTGCACATATAAATGAATATATGAAAATATAAATGTATACTCCCAGAATATACTTATTTTTATGTGATTTTCTAGGTAAACAGAATTTGGTGATTATGGGTAGAAAGACATGGTTCTCTATTCCGGAGAAGAATCGACCTTTAAAGGACAGAATTAATATAGTTCTCAGTAGAGACCTCAAGTAAGTATTATCACAAATTCACCACAAAAAAATCATGTCCCATTTCTTATGGTAGAGGTCTGTGTATGACAAAACAAAATTGTATAAATATAGCGCTATTGATCACGCTGCTTAATGTCATAAAGGTGATTACAGAAAATGAATAAGCAGTTATTTATGCCACATGACAATAATTTCACTCTGCTACTTAAGTGATTGATTTCACCACTCTGAAAAGTTACATTAAATCTCACTGAGGTAACAGCTTTGCCAGTTTCCTTGAACTGTTACTCAATAGGCTCAATTATCATGTATACAATACAGTTAATAACTTTTTTCTAGTTTCACATATGTTTTGGGGTTTACCAAGATTAAGTGGTTTATCCCCTCTCCATACCCTGCCCTGGATACAGTAAGATAGAAATTTTAGGATGGGCTAAAAATCAGTCATAACCTTGTGCCCGATTATTCCTAGTTTACCACAACACCCAAATAATATTTTGTACTTGTATTCTTTATGCAATGTCTACAGGTGAAAAAAATGAAAGTATTGGAATTGACCTAGGGATCCTGAAGAAAGAGAAGTGTCTCCAGTTAGCTTCTGCTAGGAATTTTCCTGTCCTCCAATCTAACATTGGAGTAGATAGTTCCTGATGCCTGGAAATGCCCTGGGGACTTTATTACAAGGAATTGGCCTACACATTTGTGGTGCTGGCTAGGCAAGTCCAAAACTCTGTAGGGTACACCATCAGAAAGGGCATGCTGGAACTCTTCAGCAGGGTCTGAAACTGCTATCTGCAGGTGAAATTTTTTCTTCAGGGAAGCTGGAGGAGCTGCTCTTAAGGCCTTTCAACTGATTCAATCCTGCCTACCCAGATTGAAGTCGATTTATCAACTTTAATCACTTCTACAAAATACCTTTACAGTAATACTTTGATTAGTGTCTCAATAACTAAGGACTATAGCCCAGCCAAGTGAACACATCAAAGACCATCACACTATGAGCGGGAAAAAAACATTATACAACTGTAGGCCAAGGGGGTTCAGGCTTATATAGATTTTTTTTTCCCAAATCCCCTCTAGAATGGCACAGGTAAAAACATGAAAGAAAGTATACCAGAATATTTGCATTGATGGCCTTGGATGATGAGGAATAAGTTGATGTACATCTTGCCATCTGCCTCAGTCTTTATACTGTTCTCTTTATTCTGGTTGCTAGGATATTCTGATTATCTTTTTTACTTGGTAGAATCCAAATTCACAGACTGTAGCCATTCCCAGAGACTCTTTAGTAACATCTTCTTGAATACTACTCAAGTTTATTTATGGCTAGCTTGAGCTACAACAGATATAAACAAATCTCAGTGGGGGGGGGATATTCAATTGAGCCAGCAAATCTCCACAAATGATGAGTCTAATTTCTTCTTTATGACCCCCCCCCCCACTGTTGTGCATGTAATTGGGTTTGGTTGTTTCTTATATAACATTTGTTGCTATATTTCACTTGTTTTTTTTAAGACAGAAAATTTCAGAGTTTTTATTATCAGTTATTCCGAGGAAATAAACATACCAGTTAGGAAAACATTTTAGAGTTTATTTTTTGTGCTTCCTTCTGCTTCCCTACTTGGGGGTCAGTTACACACATAACCTGGGCACCTGCTCTATGCCATACAGTGCTAGATTCTGAATTAAAGGGGAGAGATTTACCCATGTAATCGCTATTGCTCAGGCAAGCTTTTAGAAATACTCAGTTTTTCACCACCACCCTCCAATGTAAGAAGTTGAATCCTCAAGGATAAATTGAATGGTATATAACTTATAGCACAATAAAGTAATTTTTTAAGGCTTTGGAACCAAAAATTAAATAAATTTTACCACAGTGCTATAGCTTTGACAGCATCTTTAGTAAATCCAAAATTTCCTTCATGATATAAGATGTTGTAAATTGTCTTCAACTCATGAAAGCTATTTGACATCTCATAGTATAATAATTTTTTACAGTCATATTCTCCACAGTGATTAAAGCTTTCTCTCTTCTGTCCTCACTATTCACACACTTGGTACAGCAAAGAGTTACCAACCTGGCTTCTAATACCTGGTCTGGTACCTATTAACTTGATGCCTTGCTGAATGACAGTTTCCTTTTCTACTAAATGGGATTAATAATGAGAACTTCTTAGGGTGATTTTGAGGATTAATTGAAATTTTTTATGTTAAGTTTATGGCACACAGAAAGGACCCTATCAATATCAGATCCTACTGTCCCAGCTTTTCTATTTTGGCAGAATTACCTTTGGTCTCTAATAGAAAATAGTAACGGGAGCACAATGAGCAGGCTTGTGATCTCATTTTTTGCCCTAATCTATCACTTTGTTCTTCCTTCCCACAGTCTTGAGTCAAAAATCCCCTCCTGTCAACCAGAATCCTCCGTCTGCCCCCACCACTTTATCCTAGACTCCCGTTTTCTCCTGGTCTCAAGACCTTGCTCTGTTGTGCTACCCCTTACTGTTTTAAACCTCACTACATACTACTTCTACCTTCAACTTTCTTGGAGCTTTCTTGTGTTAAATAAATAACTTCTGTAACTTCAGTATAAGCCTCAGTATCCTCTATGGTCATCCATCACTTCCGTGTCTTGCACATGTTTTTATCTCCTTTGAGACTGTCAGCTAAGGGATCATTCTCCAAGGAGTATTCTCTTTCATCACCCCACCCAGATGATGTACCACCTCTGCCTACCTGGCATCCTCCACACATCCCCATCGCATATCCTTTTCATACTATGGCCACTGCTGAGATACACCTCTGCCTGCCACTGGTACAGTGGCACTTAGTATATCCCAGCACTTAGTATATCCCCTAGCAAAGCAGGGGTTCAGAAATTTTTACAGAATGGATGGTCTTTAGGTGATTTATAAAAATAGGATGATCCCACATAATATCACTTTGTAACCTGTCTTTTTTTCCCCATTTGATATATGGAAAGATTCATTTCTATGAATATTTTTAGTGGGTACATAGTATTCGATTATGAGGATGGAGCATGCTTGAACCAATTTTAATTTTAGTTGGAAATTCTGTTTCAGAGACTGAGTTTGAAAGGTCTGAAATTGAACATATTTTTGAATTCTGGTTAAGATATGATTCTAGCCTAGGGTTTTTTGTTTTTTAAGTGCTTTCCCAACAGTCTAGGAAATCGAGCCAGAGTTCCATCTGCCACATCATCTTTCACATCAGGCACAGTGAGAAAAGATAATGTTTATATGGTACCCTGAGGTAATCAAATGAGGCTGCTCACGGCCAGAGGACACCGGTCTTAAGGCTCTGCTAAACTAGGCCACACCATCCTGAGGTCTGAGGGGACGAGAATTTGACACCTTTGTAGCCTATGGCCACCGGTTGAATCCCTTGTCTATGTAGGGAGTTGTAACACACGGACTCCCAGTGTCAGGCTGCTGGAGTTCAAATCTCAGGTCCACCATTTCCTAGATCTATAACCACTGGCCACTGAATCCTTCAGCCTCAATATCATCTATAAAAAGGAATAAAAGTACTTACATAGGACTGCTAGTCTGATGCATATAAAGTACTACCTGTTCCCACTACTTGGGAGAGCAAATGGGTCCTCACATGTTAGATCTTTCTAATGTAACTATCCAGGTAAAAAGCAGCTTCTCGGGAGAAGGGAGAAGGATGGAAGTATCACTGGTGTGCCTACTGCTTTGCATTATCTCTTAGTCCTCATGCCAGCCCTCTTCAGGAGCTAAGATTCTAAGTTTGAAACAAGATATCAAAGATGTCCACATGCTTGACTACATATGGAACCACATACCAACTCTCTTGTCAGGGAATGCAATCTCTCTTAGTCTGAGATAAATAGAGGAAGGAAAGTGGGCAATGAAATAAGTCACAGTATTGAGTGTTTGCCATATACTATTCACTGTGTTCCTAGGATTTGTGCTTTAACACAGTGAACACAGTGGCCTAATTAGCTCAAACATTAGCTCAACTTTTTGCTTATATTTTTATACCCATCTTGGGTCAAGTGTTTCAAACATTCCTAAACTGCTAAGGAATAACATTTTGCAGAAGCATTTCCTCCATGTCTTTATGATAATTAAAATCTGAAACAAATCCTTAATCTAGTCTTTGTTTTCCTTTAACAGACTCATTACAAAAGGGTAAAAAAGGAGTCTTCACCTTAAGCCCTGGAAGCGTTTCAAGCCATTGTTCCACAGTCTACACAGAATGATTGTCCCCTTTCTTTGAATCCACGCCAAACATTTATACCACCTTCTAAATTATTTTGCTACAACCCACCAATTTCTAGGACACCTCTTCAAATTCTCCTCTCATGTCAGATCCTAAGTCACTATGTCAGATCCTAAACCACCATTTTTCATTCTTCCCTGACACCTGTCATCATTTCTGACTTCAGCATCCTCAGTTACTAAAACCACCTGGACTCTGTTTGTCATTCTAGACTTTAGCTAGACTACCTTCTCCCCAAGCTCAAATCTAGACTCAGTTCTCCCCCTACACAGCCTTGTCCAGTCTACTCGCTGCAGCCTCCCTGACACCTTAGAGACTTCCTTGGCTCATTTAACCTCACCCTGGTGTGCGAGTCTTTTTTCAGCTTTTAGTCAAAATACATTCTTTGTGCTATCTTCCTCCTTTAGAGATGACAAAGGGTGAAATAAGTAAAATATCTATGAAGGAGGTGAGGGAGGAGGCAGTGAAGAGAATTAGTAATCTCCATTAGCTGTTGATTAATCATTGTTATAAGCACTAGTTCAAAGACAGTTACATAATTTTTTAAAGCATCACTCTAAGAACTTGACTTTGAATTATAATTTCTGTTCTCTAATTACAATGAAAGTCAAATTCTATGTTTCTTCAATTATAAAGGGAATTATCACTCTCCACCCACCCCCTCCCCCCCCAGGAAAAAATAAACAGTTGTGGAGATAGGGAGAAATTAAACTGAAGATGTAACACTGAAATTAATTCTTTCTCCTTTGGATTTTAATTTTAAAAATATACATGCTTATTAATACTTCATCCACTTCTATATTTCAAACATGAAAAGTCTTTTACTCCCCATTCATCACATATTAACAGTTTGAATATCATTCCAAACTACAGACATTCAAACATACTACTCTCTCTCCAACATTTTTTATGAATCTTTCAAACATAAAGAACCTTAAACACCTGTATACCTAACACATAGATTCCACCATTAACAATTTATTATGCTTGTTTTACCATCCATCCATGCATCCATTGGTCTTTTTTTTTTTTAAGCATTTCAGAGTAACATGGAAACATCCGTATGTTTTCCCTTAAATACTTCAGCATATATATATCATTAACTAGAGTTCAATATTTCTTTACAATTTTTTTTTTAAGTTTATTTATTTTGAAAGAGAGCAAACATGCAAGCACGCCCACACACAAGTTCGGGAGGGGCAGAGAGAGGGAGAGCAAGAATCCCAAGCTGACAGCGCAGAGCCCAATGCAGGGCTTCATTTCAGGAATCCTGAGATCATGACATAAGCTGAAATCAAGAGTCAGACGCTTAACTAACTGAACCTCCCAGGTGCCCCATCTTTTGAGATAAATATTACATACAATGAAATGTACATGTCTTAAATGTACTTTTGCTAAATTTTGACAAATGTATGCACCTATGTAACCCCATATCAAAAATGGAGAATTTTACCATGACCCCTCCTAAGTTCCCTTATGCCTCTTCCCAGTGAATCTTTACCCCATCCCTCCAGAGACCACTACTCTTCTGATTTTTTTCAACCATAAATATCACAAGATACCAGAAGTGTTTCTGTTTTTTGATTCATTGTGGACCGTACATACACAAATATGGTTTGAATTATTGGTCATAGGCCATATTGATGTTAAGTGTTTATTACTGAAAGAATTCATATTTATGATGATTTTGGTTTTATAATTACTTATTCCAATTCAGATTACTTGACTGGTATGAATGGATTTTATAAACATTATTTGTAATTTGTAATTTTTGTAAATTCAGGGAACCTCCACAAGGAGCTCATTTTCTTGCCAAAAGTCTGGATGATGCCTTAGAACTTACTGAGCAACCAGAATTAGCAGATAAAGTGGACATGGTTTGGGTAGTGGGAGGCAGTTCTGTTTATAAGGTAAGTAAAATCATAAAGAAATGTTCTACCCCACTTTCCTTCAGATTCCCTGCCATCTGAACTTTTTTTTTAATTTTTTTTTTTTCAACGTTTTTTATTTATTTTTGGGACAGAGAGAGACAGAGCATGAGCGGGGGAGGGGCAGAGAGAGAGGGAGACACAGAATCGGAAACAGGCTCCAGGCTCCGAGCCATCAGCCCAGAGCCTGACGCGGGGCTCGAACTCCCGGACCGTGAGATCGTGACCTGGCTGAAGTCAGACGCCTAACCGACTGCGCCACCCAGGCGCCCCATCTGAACTTTTAAAAAATTAGGCCATGAGCAAAAGGAAGTACATTATCCCTACTGTAAACTAGACACATTGTCAATTTGATTTATTCGTTTTAGATACTATCATGAAAAGTAAATAAAAATATAAAAGTGAGTTTTTAAGCCTGTTCCAGTTGATTTTCAATTCCAAATAGTTGATGTTTCCAATTTAAAAATATTCTAGGGGATCCTGGGTAGCTCAGTTGGCTAAGCAACCAACTTCGGATTGGGTCATGATCTCACGGTTCATAGGTTCAAGCCCTGTGTCAGGCTCTCTGCCTACAGCTGGAGCCTGCTTCAGATTCTGTGTCTCCCTCTCTCTTTGCCCCTTCCCCACCCTGTCTCTCCCTCTCTCAAAATAAATAAACACTAAAAAAAATGAGAAAAACATTCTAAATCCTTCCCTTAGAATTGTACTTCCATTGCACTGTTTTCTACTCCCTAGATTTGCCCTGATATACTGAATTCTCCCCTTTTTCCAAGAATATATAGGTCCTTACTGAGAAAGGGATGGGGCTCTCAGTTACTATACACTGACTAAATGTATACGAATTTGTTAAAAGAAAACTTAACAATTTTGTATAATATGAAAGCATAGGAAAACTATTACATGTTTCATAATAATAGAAAAAACGAGTAAAAGAGAAAAGAGTCCTTATTTTTTTTTTTTTCCCAGTCTTGAGGTCTGTTTTTTTTTTTGTTTTATTTTGGTTTTTTTTTTTTTTACACTTATCATGCCAGGAATTCACAGGGAAGGGGTTCCAACAGTTCAGGCTCTTTTCCATTGGTTCTCCCAAAATGTACTTCTCTGGGTGGAGCAGGCTGGCTTTTCAGTTGAACCCACGTACCTTTCTCTTTGGCTTCCTTCTTTTTCAGATCATTTTCTTTTACACACTTCAGGAAGCTATCTCGGCTCTTTTGAGTGCATTTGCTCAATACATACATTAACTCTCCTGGCAAAAATCTGCCCTTGTTTGTTTACAGCAATGCAAGTAGCATGCTGGGTAACATTGTACTCTTCCAGTTTTGCAGTGGTAACATTTGTGAAACATTTCTTGTTGAACAGTGCCCATTCCCTTGATGTCCAAAATAAAGCTTTCTTGTAGAATCACAGGTATGTAGCCAACGGAACAACTCCATGTTTCCTAGAACACCTAGAGCACATCCAGCAGGTGCCTCTCCTCTTTCCCTTGGTGAATTACTGGAAGATGGAGGCTCCGGCTGAAAACTTCATTTTTTTTTTTAATTTTATTTAATTTAATTTTATTTTATTTTATTTTATTTTATTTTATTTTATTTTATTTTATTTTATTTTATTTTATTTT